CTGATCCTGTCCAGCTCTCTCCAGGTTCCGAAGCACGATCTCAAACACTTCGCGCATCTTGCTGGCTCTCTCGACTGGGGTCTGTACCTCCTGGCCTGTGCCGATAGTTTGCGCATCGAACAGCGATTTGGGCAGCCTTGGCTCTCGCCCTTGCGTGATGAAGGCGGCCGAATATCCTGTGGATGCTGACACGCTGCTGTTGACCGCCAACGTCAACTCCGGCAATGCGTCGTCCCAGCATCTCTGGTCATCTCCAGCGAACTGCGCAATCATCGTTTTCACTGTCCTGTTGGCCCTCTCAGTGGGATTCTCTTGAGGCGTGTATGGCGCTGTCAACTGGTGACGCACCCCAAGCTCCTCCAGAAACGCCTTGAATGCCCGACTGGTGAATTGGGTGCCATTGTCAGTAATGAGCACCTTCGGCGTGCCAAACCGCGCCAAGATCCGCTCTCGAAATGCCTTCTGGAGAGCTGTGCTATTCGCACTCCGCAGCGGCACCATCTCCGTCCATTTCGAGAAGCGGTCTATGAAAACCAAAAGCATAGTGTTCCCATGCTTTGATCTCGGCAGTGGGCCAACAAAATCGGCACAAACTGTTGCCCATGGCTCCTCGGGCACCTGCGTCAGCATTTGCCCAGCAGCTTGCAGCTGACTGGGTTTATATCGCTGACACACTTCGCAGCGCTGTACGTATTTTCTTACATCCCGGTACATACCTGGCCAGTAATACCGCGCTGCCACCCGAGCGATAGTTTTTCGGCTCCCAAGGTGGCCAGCGGTGGCTGCGTCGTGGTTCTCCTCCAGCACTTGTTTGCGCCGGTCCGCCGGCACGCACAACTTTCATGCAGCCACATCCTCGTGGCCGGCTTGATGAGGGATGTGCCGATATAAGTTTCCAGACTCTTCCATATAGTCTGGAAACTTATGTGGCGCCTTCTTTATGTCTTGTCGAAGCCTGGTGAGCCAGCGACATCCTGTCCCAGCTGGCGTCTCCTTGCTCTTGACCAATCGACACGCCTCCTCTCCCAGAGGCTGCCGTGAGAGCGCATCTGCTACCACATTCTGCTTGCCCTTTCTGTAGCGGATCTCGAAGTCATACTGCTGCAGCTCCAGTGCCCATCTGGCAATCCTTCCCGTTGGGCTCTCAATGGAATTGAGCCACTTCAGCGCCATATGGTCAGTGACCACTACGAATTTGTAGCCTTCCAGGTATGACCTGAGCTTTCGTATGCCCCAGATTATAGCCAGACACTCTTTCTCAGTAGCTGAATAGTTCTTTTCAGCACTGTTCAGTGTCCGGCTGGCATACGAAATGACGCGCTCTCCATCCTCCGAGGACTGCGTCAGGATTGCCCCAAGCCCATAATTGCTTGCGTCCGTTTGCAAGCAAAACGGCTTCGAGAAATCAGGGCACGCCAGCACCGGTGACTCCGTCAATTTGGCCTTTACCGTCTCGAACGCTCTTTGCCGCTCCTCCGTCCACTCCCACTTCGTGCCCTTTTTGAGCAGTGCATTTAGCGGATGCACTGTGGCTGCAAAATCTGGCACAAAGCGGCGGTACCATGAAGCCACGCCCACATATTGGCGTAACTCTTTTACGTTTGTGGGCGGCTTCAGCTCGGCGATAGCGGCCACTTTCTCTGGATCCGTGCAAATGCCATCCTCCGTGACCTTATGACCCAGATACTTTAGCTCTTTCTTGAAGAAATCGCACTTGTCGATGTTGATCCTCAAGTTGGCTGCCCGCAGTCGCCGGAACACCTCTCGTAGGTTGTTCATATGCTCCTGTCGCGTCCGGCCGATGACGATGATGTCGTCCAGGTAGGCAAAGGCATGGGGCATCATTTCTGGGCCGATCACTTGGTCCAGAGCTCGCTGAAACGTTGCCGGCGCAGAATGGAGTCCAAACGGCATCACTTTCCACTGAAAGAGCCCCTTTCCTGGCATCGTGAATGCCGTCAGTGGTCTGCTGGCCATCTCCATCGGTATCTGGCAATACCCATCCTTCAAATCCAGGCTGCTGATGTAGCGCGCCTTTCGCAGCTGGTCCAGAATGTGATGCACACGCGGCAAAGGGTATGCATCTTTGATGGATCTGCTGTTTAGCTGTCGAAAATCCACACATAGCCGCCACTTCCCATTCTTCTTACGAACCATGATAATCGGCGCGCTATGTGGGCTCTTCGAGGGCTCGATGCAGCCTTTGGCCAGCAGCTCATCCACCTGCAAGTTGATCTCCGCCTGCATTTTTGGATTTTTGGGGAAGTAGCGCTGCTTTATGGGCCTGTTATCCTGCATCCTGATCCGGTGCTCCGTGATCCTGGTGGTGCCCTTCACATGCTGGAACTTCTCCAGCTCATGCCTCAGGAAAGCATCCACCTCTGGGTCATTGTGCATAGGCGTTGGCTGTTCCATATTCGCCTCCATCGGCGTCGCTGGGTTCGCCTCCACGCTGGCCACAACCACGGATAGCTTCTCCTCCGGCTGTCCGCTCGACTGTGGAATTCTTGGCTCGACCTTCAATGTCAAGCCACCGCACTCCAGTGTGGTGCCCATGCTGGCCAAGAAATCCCAGCCCAGCACTAGATCTTCGATCACTCCTGGCAGAATCAGCAACGGAATCTGTATTTGCTGATTCCCCAGCTGATCGTCGCCTCCAGTTGCGAGTCCACCAGACTGCAACTGCCGTCCGCTAAGCGTATGCGCCGCCGTGTAGCACGCACCACGCCCACTCCTCTGAGCTCGTCAGCAAGCTTTTCGCTGATAAAGCTGCTTGTGGCTCCCGTGTCGATCGTAGCTCTTTGTTGAGTGGCTCCAATGGCCACGATCGCCGACATCTGGCTGCCTTCATCCTGGAGACGGCCCACTAGTGCCTGGGGGCTCCTGACTGCTGCTCCAGCTCGCCCCTGGATGGCGGGTGTCGCTTCTCGTTTCCCGACTGGCAACAGGCAAACGTTCTTACTCCAATGCGCCCGCACTGCTAGCAGAAATCCAGCGCCTTGTTGCGACACGTAAACGCGCGGTGCCCCTCCTGACCACACACTCGGCACGCCTTGGATGGATTCGGGATGTGTGTCCTCGTTCCGGTTGCGCCCTTCCTCGGCGCAGGAGAAAGTTTCGCCTCATCCTCCATGCGGCGATACTCCACATCGCCTCCAGCGTCGTCAATGGCCATCAGTCGTGACCGGCCAGGCCGTGGCTGTTGTCGCAACCTCTCGCGGTCCTTCTCCAGCTCCTCGAACTCATCTGCCAGGTGCATCAATTCCACTAGACTATGGAATTGATATGGGCGGGCGTAGGCACGCAGATCGGGCAGGCTGATGTTGTAGATGAGCTTCATCTCGCGGTCTGCTCCATAGCGCAGAGGCCGCATGAGAGTCTGCATCTCCACCATGTAGACCTTGAAGCTCTCATCTACCATTTGCCTCCGGCGTTTGACGTCATCCTCCAGCTTCTCCAGATAGCCTCTGGGCAGGAAAAACTCCTGGAAGCTGCGCACGAATGTCGCCCACGCCGTCCAGTGCCGGTTGTTGGCCACGTACCATTTCAAGGCCATGCCTTTCAGCAGCTCTGGCATCGCCCTTGGGATCATATCCAGATCCAGGCCCTATGTGTCAGCCGACCACTCCACCTGCTCCAAGAACTCCAAAGGCTTTGTGGTACCATCAAAACGGAAGCTCCACTCCCGCACTTGTTTGGCTACCTTTGGATATTCCTGAGCGGTGCTGTCGTGTCCTCGTGGCCTGATTTCCGGTTGCGGGTGTGGCCCTCATCTTACCTTGACGCGTATTTTGGAGTCGCGCCGTCGCGCTTGTGGAGGGCACACACAGCCGTGCCACATGTGCAAGCTCCGACTCCAGCTCGTCGTCCCCGACGGCGGTTGTTGCCTCATCTCTGAGAGAGGCACGGCGTCCATGCAGGCGCCCCAGCTCGGCGATCCTCAGTGAGTAAGGAATGCTTCCATCATTCCTCTCAACCCACTCGCCGAACTGCCTCCGCATCGCGTCCAGTGTGCCTGACAAGCTCACGCCGAACTCGTCACCATAACGCAGCACTTCATCTTTTTTAAGATTGTATACCCACGCTCGCACCATATTCACAAGTATTCACTAATCACACTCTTATCGCAGGGCCCCACGTTGGGCGCCAGTTGTAACGAACCTTCGGTTTATCCCGAGTCTAAGCTGGGCTAGTTTCAGCTGTAGTGTTGGGTAAACGTTGCTCAATTTGGTGAACATGTTCACTTGTTCTTTTTTTCGAAGTGAGTCGACTCGCTCACTTTGCTCAGTTGCTCATTCACATTGCTCACTCACATTGCTCAGTTGCTCACTGTTCATGAACAGCTCAAAGCTACTGAATTCTTCACACAACAGACAATGAAATACGTTATGTTCCATTTTAAATCTTTTTTAAAGATTTTTATAAGTCTTGTACTTAAAACTAATTTAACAAAACAAACCAAAAACTTTATTCAGATTTTATTCCTTTCATTGGGAGTATTTATGTTCTATAAAACTTGTACTTAAAACTAAATTAGAAAATAAAAAACAAAAAGTTAAAGTTAAAGAAATTCCCTTCATTGGGAATATTAGTCTTCTCGTTAAATAAAAATACTATTATTTAGGAACATACATAAAATTTACATGTTATTATGTAAAATCATAAGATTTTCCACATTGGTCGGCTTCAACAGGGACCGTCTTTTGGTTACTGTTTCACCAGCACTGGAAAATATGCGCTCGCATGGCACAGATGTTGCAACTATGCATAGGCGACTTAGCATATATGTATATAAATGCGGGTATTGCATTTTTCGCTGATTCCACCATTCCAATGGATCAGCCTTCCGAGATATATACTCTTCAGCTAAATATTTATCCATTTCTCGAATACCAGCAGCAATTGTATTTGTGGGGTGGGTTACTTGTTGGAACTTATTGTCGTACTCGTTCCAGATGTCGTCTTTGTCAGTAGAACCCAATTCTTCAGCTGGGACAACTTCATTCAGTGCGACAACGGTGCGCATTTTTGTCAGTTTTTTTTTTTATGTCAGAAACCACGTTTTGAAAGGCTTCTGCTGATTTAAATACTCGTCTTTTAAATCTTGGATCCAGAATGGTGCTTTCTGCGTACAAAACATTTGTTTCCACCTCTCTGAATCTGCCATCCATTTCAAAAATGAGCGTCTCGACAACCTCCTGCAAAGTATGGCTTGCAATAGACGCATTTAGTGTCACCATTTTTTTTTGCAGCAACCCAACTAAGACAATTATCTTTGATAGCGTCACGTTTTTTTCCGCGCAGATCTCTTCCGTTAGTTGATAGAAGGGCTGTAAAATTGGAAGTACACCTTCTATCAAACTCCAGTCTTCTGGGGACAAAATAAGGTCCGTCCGTGTGGAGAGGGCTGCTACAACTGCCTCTTTCAACATCGACAGTCGTTGAAACATTTTGAAGGTGGAATTCCACCTTGTGGGCACATCCTGCGTGAGTTTCAGTTGTGGCAAGTTAAACATAGCTTGCATGTCCTTTAACTTTTTTAGCCCTGATGAGCTACGGTTAAAGTACTCTGCGATAGCTTTTACTTTCGTGCGCACACTGCTGATTTTCTCCAAAGCCTTTTGAACAATGATGTTTAGAGAGTGCGCAAAACACCTCACCTGTTTCCAATTGCCCAATTTTATAGCACCAACAATGTTGTGGGCATTGTCCGAAGCTATAGCCATTACTTTATTTTGTAACTCCCACTTGCCAACAATTTTTTTGAGGAAACCAAAAAGGTTTTCTGAAGTGTGTGACTCTTCAAAGGCCTCGCAAGCAATGGTGTGTGATTGTAGCACTGTTTTATCCTGATTTATGTAGTGCACAGTTACTGCTATATAGCTCTCATTGCTGAGTGATGTCCAGCCGTCTGTTGTTAGACATACCGCAGTGGCCATTCGCAAATTGTCCAAAATTTGTCCCAAAAGTTCATCACGAACTTTGGGTATCAAAGAGGTGGTTAACGTCTTTCTTGTGGGAAGCTTATACCCTGGAGCGTGCGAGACATCATCAATAAGCTTTTTGAATTCCGGCTCTTCAACCAATCGCAAAGCGTGATGACCCTTGGCGATCATTTTCACAAGCTGGCGGTCAATTTGTTCTGCTTTTCCATCTGACAACGGCTTATGTACAAAATTTTTAATTTTTGGTTGAGGGTTTTGTACAACAACCGTTATCTCCTCGCTCTGTCGAACAACGGGCTCCATAGCTGTAGGGTGTTTGCTTTTAAGGTGCCGGCTCAAATTGCTCAGCGATTTCCAGCTAATGGTGCATTTGCAATATTTGCATTTGGCCTGTTGACTCCCTATGTCCTCAAAATGATTCCAAATCTCACTGTGCTTCCGGATTAGCGACATAATGAATTTTTAAAAGCGAAACAAAAGTTGGCGCGAAACACGAAAATGTGAGTTTGAAGACAATAAAAAACGGAAGAACGCAAAATGAGCTAACAGTACGTAAAAATGAGCAAAGGCAACAGTGAGTGTTGAAAAACAGCTGAGCAAAAGAGCATGTGAGCAAAAAAGAACAAGTGAGCTATAGTGAGCAAGTGAGCAAAAAAGAACAAGTGAGCAATAAAGAACAATTCGAGAGGAACATGTTCAGTTGCTCAGTTTAGTGAACAACTCTTTTTTGTTCACTCACTCATGAGCAACCCAACACTATTCAGCTGACTGTGGATTCGTTGCCAACAAATTTATTTGTTGAAGCCCCTGCGATAATTAATTAGTCTTGTGGTTTAGGTTTTATAGCGCAATGGTATATTTTCTTAAATAAATATGAAATGTACACGTCACTTATGTAAATGTATGCTGGCTCGCTGGTTTGCTTAGCGACGCACACCTACTGAGCGCTTGTTCAACGCACTCCGGCTGGGAGAGTGTTGTGCTAAACACGCTAGCTCACCGTAAGGATTTGAGAAACGCCAGGATCTGGATCTGTAAACTCTGGCGGTTCGCCAGCTATGCCGATCTCTCCTACTATCTCGCTCACTCACAGCACAACACTAACTTCGTTCACTGCAAGGATTCCCACTGGATGTCCTGGTGGTTCCTACGATGTCCTTGCTGTTCCCACGATGTCCTGGGAGTCCTGTTTGCTACTCGCGTTGACTTGATTTCGACACTTTCTTCACTTTCACTTTGTATAAATTTCGACGGCAACACTCTCTCGTATCGTTTTTCGACCCTTTTTGACTTCCCGTATGGAGCTGCTGGTGGCCTTTTATACCCCAGCCACAGGCCCTGCTTCGCGTGGTAACGGGGCCTGTTCGGCTCTGGAGCGGGGCCTTCCTGCTGCTCGTGCCCATAAAAACGGTAAAGTGGCGTGATCTGGGTGACGCCACTTTCCCGCCAAATTGCGTGGCAGCCTCCCATTGGCCGAAGTACCGTTGTTGCCATGCGAGTGAAAACGTCCACTGCTATCACCCGGCCCGAACGGCACCTCGCCTAACGGTCACCGATGATCGTCGTGCGTGTGACGCGAACCCATTGCTGAATCTGTAGGAGCGAAAGAGCCCGCCTCTAACAGGACTTTGACCCCCTTTCCAGTGCGAGGGTCGCTCCTACAGTATTCGCGTCGCTGTGTGGAGCAACATGTATATGCACGTATATGCATATAAACGCACAGCAAATACATACGTTTATATATACGTGCATACCTATATTGCTCCTCACAACATATCAAGTTATAAGTCTCTGTACACTTTTACACAACTCTCTTTTATATATATAGATGTAATTTGAATGCAATAGCTATCGATGATTTTCCAATTTTAATGGCATCATGTTTTTTGCTGCGCACCGACTGCAACGTTCTTACTTGTTACATTTAATATTTTGCATGACCCCCTTTGTGATCTAATACAGCCTTAAGTCTTGCAGGCATTGAAGCCACCAATTTTGTTGTTGTTTCGGGCCGGATTTTCCTCCATTCCTCGACTAATGCAGTTTTTAAATCGCTTTTGTTGGAAATATTCCGAGACCTGATGCTGGGTCTAAAATGGGCCACAAATTTTGATTACATTACATTTACATTAAGATCCAGGGACTGTGCTGAAGATTTGAGGGTATGCGGGCAGTTTCATACCAGCCAAGACTGAACGATACCCGATGTGTGCTTAGGATAGTTGTCCTGATAAAATGTAAAGTCCTCTTTCAGGGCCGGATATTCAGCTTTTTGGATAAGATTTTTCTTTAAAATGCTTAAATATATATTCTTATCTAAGGTGCTTCCAATAAAAGCTAGTTTTCCAACTCCAGAGACTGACATACAGGCCCAAACCATTACAGACCCTCCACCACGCTTTACTATGGGTTTCAGGTGCTTCTCTTGCAGCTCGGTATTCGCTTGTCGCCAGATGTAGGGCCTCCCATCCGAACCAAATATGTTAAACTTGGACTCGAGCCGGCTTTAATTATTTTTCTAGCTAATGAAAGGCTTCTTGAGAGCAATTCTACTATTTAAATCATGGTCTCGGAGTATACGACGAATCGTTTTTGCACTACTCGACTTCCCCAGCTGTTGCTTCATCTGACTAGCCAGCTTTGAAGCGGATAACTAGGGGTTTTCCACATCTGTGTCATTAAAAATTAGTTTTGGAGCCGTACTACCCTTATTACCTTACCTTACTTTTACCCTTATTACCATTAATCACTCTGTTTTAAAAAAAAAATCGGTTTATTATGTTTTTACTGTAGATTCGGGGTAATTAACGAACTCTGCAATTTAGCGCATCGAAATTCGATTTTTAAAGTGGTGTAGCACCAATTCCCGTTGCTGTATTGTTGTGCGCTTTTCCATTTTTGCAAACACGTGTTTCATTAACAAAATCCAGTGTTGCCAATTTTTGTTGAGCCAAAAAAGCTGTTTTTAGTGGGAAGATACTTAAAAAAAAAAGTCGAAATTTTGTGAAAAAAATCGGAAAAAAAAGCTGATTGATACTTAAATATATTTTTAACAACTTATAATCATGGCATCATTTCTTCAAACACCGCAAGCCGTATCTGTGAAGTTTTATAATATATGTTTCACCAAATGCTTGAAATTGAGTTAAGCATCACAGTATTGATCTGACGAAAAATGTTACCCACTTGGGCATTAGCAAAGGAAACAATGCAAAAGTGGCCAAGTTCCTAAATTTCTTATATCCTATCAAACCCTTAGAACACGCTTCTCAACTCAAAACTCTGTAGCGTCTTGAGTAGTTTCCTACTGAATTGGGTGGATGTTCTTATATTGGGGCTCAATACTATCAATGTTCTCAAAAAATATTTATGCATGAAAAGGAATCAACATTTTTTACTATTTGAAAATTTGTCGGCAACACATAAATTCTTGTACTACACTCTATCAAAAGAGTTGCATACATTTTTTAATCTTTTCGTTTCATTTACATAGAATCAAAAAGTTCGATATTGTACTACACTCTATCAAAATAGTTGCATACATTTTTTAATCTTTTCGTTTCATTTACATAGAATCAAAAAGTTCGATATTGTTGTTCACAATAGGTTGTTCTGAATTAAATATAAATCATATCTTAGTTTAGTTAGTTCCATATTATTACCGTTTGGTTCGTTCATTGAAAATTGAATTACTGAACTATTTGGTTTTAATTTAACTACAATGAAGAAAACTTCATTCTTCATACGAATTATCCATACAAAATACGAAAATTTCTTCAATAAATAAAAAAGCGGAAATAAAGCAAATTATTCTTTAAAAAATCCAGAATTCCCGCTGTCCGCTGTTTTGGAATTTTTCCCGCAATCGGCTTTTCAAAAAAGCCAGATTTTACGGGAAAAAAGCTGATTTGGCAACACTGACAATATCTCACTTTGAATGGTAAAAATACTTCAGCTTCACAAACTGAAAAAAAAGTACCGTTAATTTCCATTTTACGCGAATGTAACTGTTCTTAAAACATTGTGGGTCAAATTTATGAGTTCTTTTAGTTTTTATACCCTGAACCCATTTTCAATGGGAAATCAGAGTATAATGGTTTTGTTGAAATGTATGTAACAGGCAGAAGGAGGCGTGGCAGACCCCACAAAGTATATATATTCTTGATCAGGGTGACGAGCTGGTCGATTTGGCCCTGTCCGTCTGTCTGTCCGTCCGTCTGTCCGTATGTATGAACACGTCGATTTCAGAAGATATAAGAGCTAATTACAGCGCGGATATCGAGTTTATCATTCAAAATCGACAACTCATCCCGATCTTTTTTTATCGATAAAAAACCTTATCGAAAGCCAGTTATAAAATTATACCACTAACCAGTGCAAATACGAAGTGTCTGGGAGATAACTCCCGAAAAAAAGTGTGCAAAACGCTTTACACTACTTGTCCGGTCTATGTGTTCTCTGGTTAGTGATTATACCTTCTACACCTTTATTGCTAGAGTCTCCAAATTATTTATGAATGCTTATATGCAATTTATACAATTTCGGTTTTTGTTGAAATTTACCCCCCACCCATATATTCACCACCTCACCACCATGTTTGTACAAATACTAGAGACTTGCGCTTTGGCAAATACATGCATATCCATGTTATAATCATAATCTGAAAGTTTCATGAAGATCGTATGTCCACAAAAAAGTTATTAAACAATTAAGTTCTCATAGTAAGCGCATACTGCGCCCTTGCGTGTGTATGTGTTTGTGTATGTGCGTGTAAATGTTTGTGTATGTGTTTGTGTGTATGTTTTTTTTTTTTTTTTTTTTTTTTTTTTTTATATTCATTTATTGACAAAATAAAAATTGCAAGTTGTGTGGTGGCTAGGATAGCGCGCGGTGCTTGCGGGACGGCCGTAAAGCATTGCTTCGCAAGCACTATGCGCTACCTTAGCCTGGGACAGCTCGTCTTCTCAGTCGCTCGACTCTGCGGAGCTCCATCATCACTGTGGCCGCGAAGGTGCTTGTTAGTTCCCAAGCTTCCTCCGATTCCAGCATGGCGTTGACTAAGTTGTCCGCTCTGATGGAGCGGCCCACTGCCTCTTCCAGACGACGCCTCTCCTCCAGGAACCGTCCACATTCGAAAAGAATGTGGTTGGCGTCTTCCACATGCCCTCGCTCGCACCAGGGGCACTCGTCAGATTCCTCGTGGCCAAAGCGCTTCAAATAGCTCCGAAAGCATCCATGACCCGAGAGGATCTGCGTAAGGTAGAAGTTAACCTCGCCATGTTTGCGGTTAACCCATGGTTCAAGCTCCGGGATGAGCTTGTGCGTCCACCGCCCTTTAGCTGAGCTATTCCACCTTCTTTGCCATCGTGCGATGCTGTTCGCCCTGACAGCATTGAGTCGCGTAGGCCCGTGCGAATTCCGCTCCACGGCTTCGGCGACCAAATACTCCAGTGGCACCATACCGGCTATGACGAGCGCCGCGTCATCGGAGATAGTCCTGAAAGCGCAGCTGACTCTGATTGCGCTCAGCCTGTAGATCGCGCAAATGCCTCGGCTGTAGCTCGGCGTTGCCATCGCTCTTGCCCATATTGGCGCAGCATAGAGGATGACAGACCTAATGACGCTCATTAGGAGGAGACGTCGTTGCTGTTTAGGTCCCCGCGTGTTAAGCATGATTCTCGAGAGAGCTCTACAAGAATCAGCTGCCTTTTTATGCACATATTCTAAGTGCTCGCGGAAAGTTAATCTTGTGTCTATCATGACACCAAGATATCTTATCGCCCTCTTTGACGCAATGGTGACGCTGCCGATCTTTATATTGGCAGTTTCCACTCTTTGCGACTGCTGACTAGTACCACTTCGGTCTTGTGTGCCGCTAGCTCGAGCCCAGCTCCTGTCAACCAGCTTCGTATGCGATTGATACTTTCGCTGCACATATCCTCTGTATCTTTGAGCTCCTTTCCTATGGCTACGACAGCTACATCATCAGCAAAGCCAATGGTGTGCGCGCCTGCTGGTAGTTCCAAGCGCAGTACGCCGTCGTACATGATGTTCCATAGGAGAGGCCCCAGCACTGAGCCTTGGGGTACTCCAGCTGACACTGTATGAGTTTGGGGACCCTCACTCGTGTTGTATACCAGTGTTCTTCCTCTGAAGTAGCTCTTTATTATCTCTCTTAGATATTTAGGGATATTATATTGTGACAGCGCATTCAGTATCATATCCCAACTAGCTGTGTTGAAGGCATTCCTTACATCCAGGGTCGCGATGATACAGTATTCCTTCGTCCCGTGCCTCCATCTGGTGCCTTGCATAGCGGAAGTGGCCAGACCAACAACTTTGTTAAGCGCGTCCGTTGTTGACCGGGCCTTCCGGAATCCAAATTGGTTTGGTGACAGGCCTCCGGCGCTTGCAATCGCAGTCTCCACCCTAGAGCAGATCAGTTTCTCAAACACCTTTCCCATGGTGTCTAAGAGACAGATCGGTCTGTACGAAGATGGCTCATCTGGTGGTTTGCCAGCCTTGGGTAGCAATACCAGATTCTGGGCTTTCCATTTTGCCGGGAACGTCTCTTGGATCAGGCATTCGTTAAATAATTCGGCGAACGTACTTGGGTGCAAGGCGAGGGCTAGCTTTAGCGCACGATTTGGGATCCCGTCCGGCCCCGGAGCTGTGTTGGTTCTAAGACCTCGGAGAACTACTGATATTTCTTCCTCTGTAACTAAAACAATTTCAGCAATTTCAGTGCTCGTTGAGCCCTGATCAGCAGACTCGGACTCAGGGGCGTGAATGGAGCTTAAACTTTCTGGAAAGAGTGTTTCCACAATCGATTTAAGCTCCAGACGATCCGTAGGCTGCACCTGTCTACCTGCGTATAGTCTTTTAACTACTATCTTATATGCCCTGCCCCAAGGGTCATATTCGGCTGAGTCGCACAACTGTAAAAAACATTCTCTTTTGCTTGCCCGAATGGCCTTCTTCAGCTGTCTTCTAGCTGCCTGGTAAGCTAACTGTTTCTCAAGAAACGTTGGCCTACCGCGAGCCCGTTGGTAGCTTCTTCTCGCCTGGATGCAGTTGCGACGAATGTCACCTATTTGCGTATTCCACCAATACGTAGGCTCATGTTGTCGCGTGAACTGCTTGCGGCGTAACATGCTGCTATTGCAGGCACTCTGTATTTGGGCTACCATTTGGCATGCTCTGGCCTCAGCATTACCAATTGTACCCAGAGACTGAATGGCCTCTGAAAAGACCGCGGGATCAAAAGTATCTAGCCGATACGACTCCCTCCACAATGTTGACGCCCTGGCAGGTGGCTCACCTATTGTGAACAGAAGTGCCGTATGATCGCTGCCTGTATAGCTATCGCAATGGCTCCATGTTGCTCCCCGAAAGAGGGATGAAGTGACAAAAGTAATGTCGATAACAGACCCGTATCCCGCCCGACTGAAGGTGTACTCATGGCCAGTGTTGAGCAGTGCAACATCTAGTGTCGCGAAGATCTCCAGTAGGATACGACCTCTGGCATTTGTTGTTGGGCTACCCCATTCTAGCGCCCAGGAGTTAAAATCTCCAGCTATAATGGCCTTCCGACCCCTAGCATCCTCGGCAAGCTCGTCGAGCACCGTCGTGAATTCACTGAGCTGCATGCTGGGGGCCAGATAGCAACTGTAAAGCCACAAGCTACCATATCGGCCACGTACGAACCCATTGAATGACTTAACATTCGAAAGTACGTTCGTTGAGTTGCCGCATACCCACAACGCAGCTTTGCCATTAACGTCTGTTGACCATGTCCTAGGGCAGCTGGTTCTACAGTGGTGAGGCTCACTGAGAAAAGCTACATCTATACATTTTTCCCTAATGGTCTGCTCTAGAAGATCTTGGGCAGCAACACAATGATTTAAGTTAAGCTGCAAAAACCTTAACATTTCATTTTACGAGCAGCTTCACGGTAAGATGGGCACTTGAAGCTGCCTGCTGAATGGTCCGTCTGCTTTTCACCTTTCCGGATGCAGAGGCTACATTTTGGTGGCTTGGTGCATGCTTTGGCACTGTGACCCATTTCTCCACACCTGAAACAGGCGCCCTTTAAGTCACAGTCGCTGCCGCAGTTTGCTGCCATATGACCGTAATCGAGGCACTTGAAACAGCGTTTAGGCTGCTCCACGGCTCGGATACGGCAAACTACCCATCCTATTCTAATTTTGGACAGCTCGAGCAGAGTTTTAGCTTTCCCAATTGGAAGAGCAACCGTAGCTCTTTGCTGTCCACCAAAAGCTGGCCGAAGCGATTTGATAGCCTCAATGGGGAGTGAGCTATCCTTCAACTCCACCCTAATTGCCTCCAAGATCTCCTCTTTGGTCGCTAACTCATCTAGATCGCGAATCTCAACTTGCGCCGATTCGGTAAGTGTTTTAACTACCGCTCGGTCTCCCAAGGCCTTGCCTACAGCTTCGTGCAGAGCCTCAGCTCCGGCTTCCTACTCAGTTGCAGTAAAAGGTCCCCCTTAGCTGTCTTCCTAATGCCTTGAACGTCGCTGCTCAGATGCTTCAAATTTGGGTCGTTTTTAACTACACGAAGCATGTCCGCGTAGCTGCAACCCCCTACGCCTGAAATCGCAATCGCGTCAGTCCTGGGACGTTTTTGCATAGGCTTTCGCCCTTTGACGACTGTCCAGCTGCTCTGGTTTGTCTGTCGGGCGGCCTGGTTTGAAGTTTCAGATTCAGCTGTAGCCCGTAGAGCCATTGGTTCTTTTGGGTTCGCTGCACTTCTATTGGGCCTCGGCTTTTTTGAGGGAGTTTTCCTCTGTTCGGAGGCAACTTCCCTCGACCGCTTGGGAGTATTGCTACCTACTGTAGCACTAATGCTCGCTGCCTTAACGTTTTCGCCTACTTTGAGTGGCGTGGTCTGCACCTCACAGTTTTTAACCGAACGGTTGCAGAACGCTTCGGCCGTCTTGTGGAGGCTGACCAGCCTAGCCAGCTCCTCTCTCATTAAGGCATTTATATGCCGCTGACCCCCAAATAAGGCAGACAGACCCTCTAGTGTAGCTCCTATTTGAGCTAACGCTTCTTTTAGTGACTTGGGTGCCTGGCACTCAGCCACTGGAGCCTGGTTAGAAGTCGACGGCTGCGCCAACACCCTCTGTTGTTGCTGCGGCGATCGCTGCAACGAGGAACGACGCGCAAAAGCTTGCAGCTCGTCCTCCATCATGGCATCCATTTCTGCTCCGACTACAACGGCGTGAAGCCTGTAGTGGGCAATGGCTACTAAAATAATCTGAGTTTACAACCCGCAGTCACTTAAACTCAACTTGACTAAAGCGAGAGCCCGAAAGTATGCACTACTTTTAATAACTGCTACTTCACTCCAGCAGCTAGGTTGCTGTCTTTGCTAAGGCTTAGCAACTCACCAACGTTAGTGAGCAGCTGATTGCCCGATGCAATTTCCAGCACTACTAACAGCTGTTAGAGTGAATGCACCTGATTTTTCTTATTGCGCAAGTGTGACGCCTAAAGTAACAAAATTTACGCGCCCACAAAAGACAAGGAAAGGAAAGAAGCCCTGACGCCAAAACACTGACGCTATCGCCCCCCTCTCTTGCACCACCGAATTATACCGCTTGGGAATTCCACGAACCGCCGCGCAGTAAGTCTCTGGTAGTTTTTTGAGGTCGCTGGGTACGCCGCGCCCACAGCAAACACGTTGACTTCAGTTCTTTCCACTTTCACAGGGGAAAACACAGTTCAAGCTATTGTCTACGATGGACCACGATGACATCGACCGCACTCCGTGAAAACGCAACTCGAACTCCGTTTGTGTGTGTGTGTGCGTGTGTGTGTGTGTGTATGTATGCCTGTGTGTGTGTGTGTGTATGTATGCCTGTGTATGCGTGCGTGCGTGCGTGCGTGTGTGTGTGTGTGTGTGTGTGTGTGTGTGCGTGCGTGTTTCTTATGTAAGCTGAAAGACGCGAAAAATTATTGAAATAGCTATTACTCCAAGGGTTCAGGGGATCTCGAAGTCGAGCAGTCTCGACTAGAGCTTTCTTACTTGTTCTTATTATACTCATTCACGAAAGTGAATTATTATACTCATTCACGAAAGTAGTTTTGTGCAATGTCCGTCTTGCTGTCCGTCCGTCTGTCCGTATGAACGCAATCTATTTCGGCGGTATTGAAGCTAGAGACTTGAAATTTGGAACACATACTCGTGTATATCTCCGATTTATAAAGTGTTACAATTTTCCCGATCCGCCCACTAGGGGCGTGGCAAATCGGAAAACGGATTTTCCGATATGCCAGAAATCATATTAATTGAAGAGCTAGAAAACTGAAATTTGGAATATAGATCCGCATTGACCACCCAAGATCACGAGCTATGGCGGATATATCTACGCCCATTTGGGGGCGTGGCAAATCGGATAAAACGGTATCTCCAAGAGTTTTACAGGTAGAGCGCTGAAATTTTCCACGTCAGCTATTGTTATGATTCTATAAAGTCTAATGAGCATAAGGTGCGTGGCAAATCGAACCTGTTGATATAGTGATTTTTTAAATTCTGCTATATGTTGGACACTTTTGATGCCGGACACCTATAAACTCGGGCTGATCACCCAAGACCAAAAAGATTTGTCGGATATATGTCCGCCCACAGGGGGCGAGGCAAACCGCAAAAGTGTATATCGCCCAAGGTATATAAGCTAGAAGCTTCAAATTTAGATAGTTAAGATACCAGTAAACTCCTCTATCAATCCCAACAATAATTTTTACGCCTTTTTAGGGGCGTGGCATATCGAAAAATACGCTGTAATTTTCACATTTTTTGAGGGTAAGCATTCAAAATTTGCAGTTAGGGTACCGTTATCTCGTTCTATGAGCTGACCAAACATGAGGTGTCTACGCCTAGTAGGGCCGTGGCAAATCGGGGAAAAAAACTTAACTACTAAATTGCTGATGGGATGAGAATGAGTATTCCGCAGTCGGTAACGCCCGACTGCAACGTTCTTACTTGTTTCCTTACTTTTTTTTTTTTTTTTTTTTTTTTTTTTTATATGAATAAAAAAGTTAAGCTTTCCATTAATTTAATATTGATATAACAATTTTACGTTTGAATTTTTCAAAAATTTTTATTTTATTTTTATTCAAAATAATGAGCAGATGAAATTTTTATTTCACTTTGGGTCAAATAAACTGTGAGCCACTGTATATACCAGGTCTCTAGCATCAATAGTGAAACGGAAAATGCATTTTACGATTTGCCACATCCCTAGTGGGCGTACCAGGAAATTTTTAACACTTTATAGATCGGAAATATACACGAGTATCTGTTTTAAATTCCAAGTCTCCAGCTGTACATATATGAGTATTTATGTATGTATTTATTTTGTATTCATATTAAGATTTTCATAATATACGAATTTGTAGCGATGTGAAACATTGTAATAAGAACCATATTAATATTGTAAAAAATTGTGTATGAATGATAATCACATCGTTGTGATTGGTGGCACATTGTCAATGTCACATAGAAGACGGTGACGATTTGCGTGAATGAGGCACAGATGGACTTTTAAAACTGTGACGTGAACTGCTTCGTGGCTTACAGGTATAGTCGTTCCATGGTTCCGGTGCGCGTCCGAACCAATTTACTAAGTCAATCACCTCTACCTGTAAAAATTACTATTTTATAAAAACCTTAATTTTATTTGATGTTACGGCTACTTGAAGAGCTTGTGGCAGTTCCTTGAAGATTTCAGATTTAGTAAGATGAGCGTGCTTCGATAAAAATGAAATGCAATTGGACTTGAGCAGAGTTGCAAAGTATCGATCCGCTATCCCAAGCAAAACGACGACGGAATCCTCATCTATCAAGGAATTAAGGGTACTCTCGCATATTTCCTTAAAAAAAATTTAAAATATATATACTTATATATATAGTGATATATGTATATAGAGGTAAAATCAAATGATTAGGAACTTGGCCAAACTACCTTCAAATTATCAATTGAGTATCTATCGGCCAGCAGCATTAGCTCGCATATTTGATCTGCTCCCACAGTACGATCTATAGGAGCACCATATATGTAGAGCAGTAGTCTTCGAAAGATTACCGGCGAAGTGTCCGTAATAACGACTTTTCTCTTAATAGATTCCTGCATTCCAGACATTAGCGCTTTTTTAAACCATTCACAGCGTGCAGCCACAATAACACGATGTGCCTTAAAACTATGAACTTGAAGCGACGCATTTTTGTCTTCAATGTGCGACACCATCAATGTAGCCCACACTTTGTCGCTTGATGTTGATGATGCATATGTATGAACTTCAAATTCCATATCCGCCATTTGCGCCGAGTGAAGTAAGCGTAATGCATTTTTTGATAAATTACTGTGGGCTGCAATGGGCGGCTCACACAAATTTCTTATTAAGTTGAGCTGTATGATAGTAATTAAGTTTTTAACGTCATATGGTATGAATTAAAAATATGTTGTTACTATACCGTACCTTAAAATTTATGTACTCGTGATATTGATTCATAGGCTTCGTTCCTTTACTTCCCTGATCTAATTTATCCAAATTATTCTCGGAGTCAGCAAGCTTGAGTTCGTGTAGTAATTGATTAGATGGCTCCAGAAGACCGAGCTCAATAATCGACATCAAAAATTCTTGTTTTCGGACTACCTTACATATTTGTTCAATAGCTTGTCGGAGCGCTAACTTATGATCCAATAACTTCGCAATAACGCCATTCTATAACAAAATTGTATGATATTCATGTTATCAAATTAATTCTCATCCAGTAAATATAAGGTACGAGAAAATCAGTGCACTCCGAGCGCTCAAACGTAGATAATCACATTTTCATTTCATTTTCATATGCTATGCTATGCTGAACCCATTGAAAATGGGAAGTCGAGGTATGATGGTTTTCTGAAAACTATGTAACTGAAGGAAGCATCGCAGACTTCACAAAGTATATATATATTGATCAGGGCGACGAGCTGAGTAGATTTAGCCCTGTTCGTCTGTCCATCCGTGCGTCCGTCTGTCGATCTCAGGAGATATAAAAGCTAGAGACTTGAAATTTTTTTATAAATACAGCGTGGATATCAGTTTTTCGTCGATTTGGCCCTGTCCGTCTGTCTGTTCGTCCGTATGTATGAACGCGTCGATCTCAGATGATATAAGAGCTAGAGACTTGAAATTTTGTTTCCTAGGTCCGTGTATATCACGCGCATATCAAGTTTTTCTTTAAATATCGATAACAACTCTCGATATTTTATTATCGATTAAAAACCTTATCGAAAGCTAGTTATTTATTTATATCTCCTACACCTTTAGAGCTAGAGCTTCGAAATTTTAAATGTAGACTTATATATATTTAATACAATTTCGATTTTTGTTAAAATTTACCCCCCACTCCTATTTCCACCCCCTCACCCACACCTTTGTAAAAAGCGTATTTCAAATACTAGAGACTTGTGCTTTGGAATGTACATACATTTGAACATTGATTATGTTCATTAAGATTGTACGTCTAGAAATTAAATTATTCAACAAAAAAAATCTTATAATGTTGCCCACACTGCAACGCAGCCCAAGCGCAGTCGCTGCTTACTGCGCAGTTAGCAGAGCGCGCTCTAATACGTGCGTGTGTATGTATGTGTGCCGAAAAGAAGTGCAGAGTGATTAGAATATCAGATTAGAGGGGTCAGGGTATCTCCTAGTCGAGCAGTCTCGACTAGAGTCTTCTTACTTGTTATTGATTAAAGTCATCGAAAATAAGCTATTTAATTATATTTCCAACATCTTTAGAGCTAGAGTCGCCAAATTTTATATGCACATTCATATGTACTTTATAGAGTTTCGATTTTTGTTATAATTCACCCCCTCCCCTATATCCACTGCCTCCCTACTAAATTTGTAAAAGGTGTATTTCAATTAGTAGAGACGTTTGCTTTGGCAAATGCACACATTTTAATGATGCAATCACAATCTAAAAGTTTTATGAAGAAAGTACATCCAAAAGCAAAGCTATTAAACAATTAAATTCCCATAGTAAGCCCACACTGCAGACCATGCGTGTTTATGGCTGCGTGCCACTGTTAAAAGACACAGTAGGTTGCGCAAAGCAGTCCCGTTACTTTTAATGTTAACTAACAGCTCTCTTGTGACGTCACATTATCAGATTTTGCTATGTTATCCCGGCTGAGGCTTGGAAGGCATTTCAGCAGAGATCGACTAAGTCGTCCAAAACAACTAAAATTAACTATATATAAGGAAATTTCAATAGTAAATACCTTAAAAATTGTTAATCACTAATTTTAATACCATACAATTAGAAATTAAGTATATAATGGAATGAACTGGGAGGCCTCTCGAATGCAACAAAAATGGCGAATAAGTCAGCAGGAAAGGTTGATGGACATAGTTAACTGGGTTTTCGCCATCAGTATTGTTTATTTATGCCAATTTACCTACATTTAAATATAGTACACGTTGAAGCTGCATCAATAAAGGTACTACTCACACCTGCTGTCATGTCAGAAACATCCGGTAGAATGAACTAAAATTTGTGTATTAATTGCCAAGTCGTAAACTTGTAATCTGCCTGAATCAGCTCTTAAAACCTAGACAGAAGCTAACAATGCTGCGGGTCATCTATGGCCATCGGATTTGTAATATAAAGAATGAAATTAGTACGTATAATGATGCGGATTGATGGGAAATTCATAATACTTAGTAGTAACTTTTTAGTTTTACAAATTCAAGCCTTAGATAGTAAGGTTAAATCCATTATATGCAAAAGTAAAAGTGGTCAAGGGATTGCATGATCAATAACTGCTTAGAAAACGGCTTAGAGTATAAAAATTAGCAAAAACCTTTATATTTTCCGATTCGTGAATATATATTGAATATGTGATTAGCCGCCCAGCTCGTTTTATTTAGTCTACTAGTTTTAAGACAAATAACAGTGTCAAAGTTGCCTGATTTTCATAAAAATTCAAACGCTCGCCCACCATTTTCTGAAATAATGACGTCACGCTGTCAAATCAGCTGTTCACTTTGCATAACCTACTATCACCACTAACCAGAGAGCACATAGACTAGACAATTAGTGGAAAGCTTTTTGCACGCTTTTTTGAGGCTTTAACACCCCAGACAGCTTTGGACTCGCTCGGCTCCTTACTTTTAGGTTCGAGCTACGAAAAAATACGAACGCACAATCATTTCGCTTCATGCGCTCGACCGAGATGGTCAAATTTTGAACAAAAGATCCCTCTATGCTCAATGTTTCCCCTGCTCTCTCTCTCTCTCGATGGTCTCTGCTCTCTCGAATGTGTATATGTATGTATGCATGTGAGCACAAGCAGCAGCTCACGAAAATTTAAATTTCGTCGCAGCAAGAACCCATGCCTTTTACCTTCTGTGTGAAGAGTATACCAAACTTTTCAAACCGTTTGCCAAGCTCCTACAAAATATTTGCGTTTTCGTTATTATTTGTGGGAAGGGTATGAAAGCGTTGGTGCTCATAATGAAAATGCTTTCGCGACGAGCGTGCACGCACACACTCTCCCTTGCTACATGTACTATGAGCATTTGTATGCCTGTGTGCGAGGCTCTTGCTGCCTGTAGCAATTTTAAAGCCCAGCATTTGCATTAGGTCGATCTTGTGAACTGCTCACACTTACATACATATGTTTGATTGTGTGTACGCAGGGGCCGCGATGCTCACAAATGATGGGGTAGATTGTAGAAGCATCTGAGTGCCTTTATATGTATGTGCGTATGTTTGTGTATGTTTATGTGTGTATGCATGCGACATGAGCATTGACGTGTGCCTACGACAACTTAGAATTGTGTGAACGATTTTGGGTTTGACCGGAAGAGGCGCGCTTATATTTAAGTAGATGACTTTATTTCAATGATCGTGGGTCTGCCTATCAGAATGATTTTTTTTTAAATGTAGTACCTGGTTAATCCCAGTGGGCAAATTGGAATGCGATCCCTTCGATCCCTTACACCTGCACAAAATACAGGTGAAATTTACCTTTTTAATAAGAAGCATATGTATGTACATACATACATACATATACGGGCCAAATAGACCCATTTTAAAGGGTGCATCTGTTATATGTCATAAAACTCATGCAATTAAAAAATACCTATAAAAGTAATGGGAAGTGCACTTGTTACTTTAGTTGGTCAGCTACTTAAATGTAAGCGCGCCTCTTCAATTAAAACTCAAAATCGTTCACACAATTCTAAGTTGTCGTAGGCACACGTCAATGCTCATGTCGTACACACACGCACATACATATAAAGGCACTGAACTGCTTCTACAATGATTACCCCATCATTTGTGAGCATCGCGGCCCCTGCGTAAACACAATCAAACATATGTATGTAAGTGTGAGCAGTTCACAAGATCGACCTAATGCAAATGCTGGGCTTTAAAATTGCTACAGGCAGCAAGAGCCTCGCACACAGGCATACAAATGCTCATAGTACATGTAGCAAGGGAGAGTGTGTGCGTGCACGCTCGTCGCGAAAGCATTTTCATTATGAGCACCAACGCTTTCATACCCTTCCCACAAATAATAACGAAAACGCAAATATTTTGTAGGAGCTTGGCAAACGGTTTGAAAAGTTTGGTATACTCTTCACACAGAAGGTAAAAGGCATGGGTTCTTGCTGCGACGAAATTTAAATTTTCGTGAGCTGCTGCTTGTGCTCACATGCATACATACATATACACATTCGAGAGAGCAGAGACCATCGAGAGAGAGAGAGAGCAGGGGAAACATTGAGCATAGAGGGATCTTTTGTTCAAAATTTGACCATCTCGGTCGAGCGCATGAAGCGAAATGATTGTGCGTTCGTATTTTTTCGTAGCTCGAACCTAAAAGTAAGGAGCCGAGCGAGTCCAAAGCTGTCTGGGGTGTTAAAGCCTCAAAAAAAGCGTGCAAAAAGCTTTCCACTAGTTGTCTATTCTATGTGTTCTCTGGTTAGTGCTATCACTCAATCGTGGCTGCGTGCCTATGTGTGCCTGTGAGCGTGTGTGTGTGGGTATTTTTTGTGTAAGAAGAACAAAATCAGTTTTTTCCCCGTAAAATCTGGCTTTTTATACCCTGAACCCATTTTCAATGGGAAATCAGGGTATAATGGTTTTGTTGAAATGTATGTAACAGGCAGAAGGAGGCGTGGCAGACCCCACAAAGTATATATATTCTTGATCAGGGCGACGAGCTGAGTCGATTTGGCCCTGTCCGTCTGTCTGTCTGTCTGTCTGTCTGTCTGTCCGTCCGTCCGTCTGTCCGTCTATCCGTATGTTTGAACGCGTCGATTTCAGAAGATATAAGAGCTAGAGACTTCAATTTTTTTGTTTAAATGACCGTTTATACAGCGCGGACGTCGAGTTTGCTTTTAAAATTCGATAAATCATCCCGTTATGTTTTTATCGAGTAAAAACATTCAATTTCAAGTCAGATGCCACTATAGCTAATTGTGAATGATTTTTCATTTTTTTAAATATCTCAAATATTCAATATAATATGTAGATCATATGCTGAAAGTTTCATTAAATTCCGTTCAGTCAAAAATTAACACAAAATAATACGAAGTTGTCTGGGGTGTTAACGTTCGAAAAAGTGTGCAAAACGCTTTACACTACGTCTCCGGTCTATGTGTTCTCTGGTTAGTGGTGGTGGAGAGCGCGCAGAGGGAGAACGCTGAAGAAAGGAACGAAT